CACACGCCAATAATTTCAATATCCAGGCAACGCACACATACCCAACCACCATGACTCAACACATGCCTTCAAAATCATCGTGCTGCTGGATGAAGTTAAAACAAAACAGTCTACAAGTCCTAATATCCCAACAACTTCAACATTTAAACTATACACACCCACCCACCAATCGCAATCAGCAAATCATCGTTCTGCCAGAGGCAATAACAAAATCTACAAGCCCTACACACGCCAATAATTTCAATATCCAGGCAACGCACACATACCCAACCACCATGACTCAACACATGCCTTCAAAATCATCGTGCTGCTGGATGAAGCTAAAACAAAACAGTCTACAAGTCCTAATATCCCAACAACTTCAACATTTAAACTATACACACCCACCCACCAATCACAATCAGCAAATCATCGTTCTGCCAGAGGCAAAAACAAAGTCTACAAGCCGTACACACGCCATGAACTTCAATATCCAGACAACACATTCCCAACCACCATGATTCACTTACCCACACCTTGTAACAACGATTCCAAATATCATAACCTAGTATTAGTACCTATTAACCTTCATTAAACTTACATCTGTTCCCCTTACATCTCCAACTTACCCGTTGCATACACCTTTTACTCTGGATACTAACAATCTAACTATCAACATCTCCTAAGTCTCCATAACCATTCTTGGACCTGCATCCATTGAAAGTACCTGCAATACCAAAAAATAAAAATCACAAAAACCAACCTGGTCACCAAAATCGCCACAGTCATCTCTAACCTCAACGCTGCTCGATAACCGCTCCTGGGTCCTCCATCAACAGCTGCACAGAAGATCAAAACAGAAAAAGAAACTTCCACACACGCCCGTCATCACCTTATGAAAAAGTCTCATAGGCCAAATCCAGGCCCAGTACCTGCGGGAAATCTAACCATCATAACCTCAATCGGAGCCTGCCATAACTGAGAAGCCTAGCTGATACTCACTCTAACCACCCCCACCGCTGTACACTAAACCACCTCCGCCCCGAAAACAAGCAACACCAATCATACCTCCGTACTGGGATCAAAAACTGTGGCCAACCTCCAATCCTGATTCCAGTCGCCTAAAACCAAACTAGCTTAAGAATAGCTGGACCGTTAACTTATACTTCTGACACCCCCTATTAGCACTAGAGATTGACTGCTATCTTCCCATCAAAACTACTACGCTTCTGACCCTAAAGCATCCCAAATCCTTAAACACTATATGCAACGTTTACCCCTTCCTTACTTTAACATATATTACTTTTCAATGTTAGACATAAGCTAGCCATCTAAGCCCTCCTTACACATGTGTTCCCCCTCCCCTTAGACTAACTTTAATATAAAATTAGAATACCAAAAATAAATAAAAGATTTCTCTCAGAAACGACCAATTTGTCAAGCCTACTATCAACATCTCTATCAGAGAACCAACGATAGGTACCTGTCTCATCGCGAGGCCTACACCACAAGAGTCAACCAAAACCACTATAAAATAAGCTTTCAACTATGTCAAACATCAAAAAATGTTAATCAAATTCTGAGAAAAACACTAAATTTAACGAAATACCTAGCGTAGAAGCTCATTCATCTCTTACAACCACCAACTTATGTTGCATGCACTTATCACTCTGGAACTAGTTGCCAAAATATCTGCTTCCCACAGCATTCAAAGACATCCCGTACTTACGTCCATCGCAAGCGCCTGAAATAAAGATACTTCTGCACACGCCTATTAAACCACCATCAAATATTCACTAAACTCATCTCAGGATCTACTGTCTCATCATCTCGTGATATTGTCACCAAACTCAATCCTGGGTCCAGCGTCCGCTGTAAAAACTCACTACAGTATTCTCCATCTGAGCCTGCAACATCTGTAAATCTGGTCGATACTCACCTACAAAACCGTAAAAAACGCACACACATTATCAAATCAACACCAATCATACCCCCTTAAGTGATCAACATGCTGGCTACCTTCAAACTGGCAGTAGTCACTTACAACCGGCTTGGGATGAGCTGGATTACCAAAATCATGCTCCTGCTCACCCTTCCTAACATTATGGATGGGCAGTCAGTAATCTTCCCTACAACCTTCAACACTGCTGGCTTTAAGGCGTTATAGGTTCTTACACGCTGTGTGCCGCACTCATCTCAACATTGGTTTTAGTTTAATTTTTGTTTTAATGTAAATTACAAGCTAGCCACTTGAACAATCCCTGTGTTTGTACTCCCCTTCCCAATAAACTAACCAAGAATATCAAAAAATAAATCTGAGGTTGCACCCTATATGGGACAACTGAAACCAGATAAAAAATCTACAATACTGGACCCTAACACGGACAGATATGCTAATACAAATTTAAATAAATGTCAGTTTAAACTCACTCAGTTGCCAATAGGGCAGCAGCAGAACCAGCATAATTATCAGCAGCAGTCAAAAATGGCAACCAACTGGGCCTCCTTTGGTCATCAACAACAATAGCAACATCCATTGGTCCAGCAATCCGCTATATGGGGGCAACAGCCCCAGCAACAATGGCCAGAGAAGGTCAACATGGCCTCCAATGACCAGCAGCAGCAACATTTAATCCAGCATCCGGCCCACTGGGGGCAACAGCTACAATAACAATGGTCCATGGTGTCCAAAATGGCCTTCTCTGTACAACAAATCCATCAGCCAATACAACAGCTCCTACATGAAAATGTGTATCCACAGCAAAATCGGTTGACGGCCGCAAAGACAGTCTTCCCAGGCCGTCACACGGGTCCGCCAATCCAGATACACACAGACATGCAAGAGCAGCTACATAAGCCATGCTCGGTGCTTCCCACCTTGAGCTCACTAGGCCAGCCTATGCATCCCATGAGGCAGCCACATGAGAATCCAGTCAATATATTTGTTTTTGGCCAACAACAACAAACCACTAATGAGAGACGAATCCTGAGGGGGAGGCGACTCTTACTGCCAATACAGCAGCCCACCCAGGTGAACGAGCAGCTGGAGAAATTACGATCGACGGTCACCACGACAGCCATACCAGACCGTCATACGCATCCGCCAATCCAGCTGCTCGTGCACTCAGGAGAGCAGCTACAGAAGCCTTGGTCAACGGCGAATCCACCGGAAACACTGAGGCACCAAACTATGGCCTCCGCCACGCCCACATATGGGCACACACAGCCGCGCCAAATATCGAAGCCTCTTCTCTGGGGGCACCAGGGGACGAGGAGCCACTCCTTGGAAGTCACCACGTTCTCCTATGGGCAGTTGCAGCAGCCTCCAAATTGCCCAACGGCTATATGGGGGCGGCAGAGAGCGTCGCACCAGCCGACGGTACCCACCACGCCCACATATGGGCACACACAGCAGCGCCAAATATCGCATCCTCTTCTCTGGGGACAGCAGGGGACGATGCACCAGCCGATGACGGTCACCACGCCCACTTATGGGCAAATGCAGCAGTCTCCAAATTGCCAGACGGCTCTATGGGGGCAGCAAGCGCAACAACAACAGTCAACGGCAGCCACCACGCCCACATATGGGCAAATGTATCCGCCTCCTAATTGCCAGCCGGCCGTACGGGAGCAGCAGGTGCACCAGCGCCATCTTATGGTGTTCACAGCGTCCTCCAAAGGGCAACGGAAGCGGCCGACGAAGTCTCAGCACGCTCAGTGGGAGCAGAAGCTTCTGCAGCAATGGCTAGCAACGGCTACAAAGACCTCCACTAGCCAGTCAATCCAGCGGCCAATCCTACGGGGGCGGCGGCTCATTAATGACCGAACGATGGTCACCACTGCGGACTCCATGGGTACCCAAGCGTACCAGTCATTGTGGAAGCTCGTCTATGAGGACCATCAGAGGCAGCAACAACGGTCAAAGGCGGCCAGAACGGCATCCCCAGACCACTGGCATCAACTCCAAATTGAGCTGCGCGTCCAGCAGCTTAACAACAACAGCCAAAGCTTGACGATAGTCAAAAATCTGGAGCGGCGATATAAAAGAAGGCGTCAGATGGCAGTCCAGAGGCCAGCAAATAAGCCCAGAAACCGCCGTACCTGCAAAAAGCACGAAAATGTGAAAAAACATAAGGTGGAAAAGAACCGCAACGCTCACTTACCTGCTCAAAGGGACCAGCATATGCAACAGCAGCCGACTCAGCACAATTGGCAACTCGCTAAGCGTCATCCACTTGACGCTGAGTGGCCAGTTACGGCGCCTCCCGATCGTGCAAAACAATTGCAGCTCAAGCTGCATGCCACTAAGCCTTCGGGCAAACAAATTTGCACTGGGAAATGCAGTAAAACGGCGATCCATCATCTACGCTTCCTGGGAGTGTGGATGATGATGCTTATTGCCATGCAACAGCTCCAGAAGCAGCAGATAATCCACCAAAGTTTGGTACAGCACTCAGCGGCGGCGAATGCGACGGCGGCGGCCAGCAAGCAATTCAAATTGCACAAAACAATGCCAATTCGTCGGGCATTTATGCGGTGGAAGCAAATAGTCCACCGAAAGGCCAGAGGCAGACGTCAGGTGCATCGAAAGGCGGTGCGATACAAAGAATAATTAATATTAATTATTTTTAATGCCAACAAAATTGTTAATATTAATTTTTTCATATACTCACATGCGCGCAGCGTGCCTTGTAGTGTGTATGTATTTATGTATGTATGTACTTGCCAGTGACGCGACAGCATTGCCAGCTGATCGCGAAAATAATTCCCCAGAAAACTGACCTACTCAATGTTAAATGTACAGACCATTTTTATGTTAATGTTATGTTTAATTAGGTTAGTCGAGATTTAAATGTAAATGTTTTTTTTGTATCTCATGTCATCTCTCCCCATCTTGCGAACTGGGGAGTGTAGCATACTTTTAAGTGGCGTCAATTCTGTTCCTAAAATTTCTGTTTGCAATTCTTACTCAAAGTATATCGTAGAAATGAGAAACAATAAAAGAGAAAGCTCTCTGAAAAATGGGACACGAGGTGAGGTATGTGGGCGTTATCAAAGAGCGTTTCACAGCCAAGCCTATTAATACGTTTGAAATAGAGCTGACAAAGAAGGAGAACAACACAAAGATACTTGAGCTGAAACATTTGGGAAGCCAAGATATCAAAGTGGAGAGGCAACGGAAGCGCACTGATCCAGTTCAGTGCCACCGTTGTCAGGCATACGGCCACAGCAAAAACTATTGCCGGCGGCAATTCGTATGCCTGAAATGCGGTAAAGGACACCCGACAACGACATGCACAAAGGCAAGAGGCGCGCCTCCAAAGTGCGCTAATTGCCATGGCCAGTATGTTGCCAATTATAAAGGCTGCAAAGTCTTTAAAGATGAGCGCAACAGATTAACAGCAAGTCGGGCACGAGCCGTGCCCAGCCAGCAACAACTGAGTCAGCAGCCATCGATCAATAGGCGCCACCACGAAGCGCATAACGAAGGGTCCAACAAACGCAGTCTCCAGCAGCGGCAGCAACAACAACAGCAGCGGCAAAAGAGTAGCGGAAATATCGTCAACAACACCATGACATATAGTCAGGTGGCAAACGGGCGAGCTAATCCTGGCCGGATGAATAATCCGGCTGCACAACATCTTCTCAAATTCCAACAAAAGCTACAGCAAGAACAGCGCCAGAATGCACAAAAAATAGCTGAGAAGAAAGAGATGGAAACAGGCGCAAGTCATCAACTGCATAAGAAGCAGAAAACTGGGAAAAGGCAACAATAACAACTATCTAGCCAAGAGCCAGCCAATAATGCTACTATGAATGCTTTAAATAGCAACATAGAAGCAATTAAGTCAATGTCCCAGCCATTGGAACAAGTAGTTGGACTACTTTTAGAAATAGTGGCCAACAAGTCAAATAATTCAATGCCTGCAATTAATTTGCATGGAACCGCCACTAGGACGCTAGTCAGCTCAGCAGCTGCTAGCCGATCCTCAGACGTCACTGATACTCGAAATGAGTAAAAACAAAAGCAATATGAGAAACGGTCAACGAGTGAGAGAGAATACAGTAACATTCTTTCGGAACATACAAAACATCATTAATTTAGATGATTATATAGTCGAACCCTATGAGTATATTAAGGGAGATCGGACTACTGAATACTACATCGCTATGATGAGCGAAAAGTTCATATATTCAAAACTGGCCTTCGGTCGGAAATTAGATAAAGGCCTAATGATAAAATGCCTACTATCGGATCCTAAATGCGTCCAAATACTTAACAGATGCGTTAGTTATGACGTTCGAGCAGCTTTGGTTGACTATTTTAAGTTTAGCACCATTAATGCCATCGATATTGTTAAATATATAAAAGAGTTCTTATATGATTGCGATACTCTCTCATTCAGCCGTAGCCAAAAAGGCAGCTCATTTCTAAAAAGCTATAGAGGGCATACGCTGCTACCTGCATCTTATGCGGGTAGTAAAAACAAATACAGCGTGCCCAAAAAAAGAAAAATATCAGTCAGTAATTTAAAAGAAGTCCATTTAGAATTTGAAAAACATCAACCGCCAATGCAAGATCTAAATCCAATAAAACAAACGATGACAGACAATGTACCGCAGCCACTAACGACTATTAACGTCACACACACAATAACAGAGAAATCTACAATACTGGACCCTAACACGGACAGATATGCTAATACAAATTTAAATAAATTTCAGTTTAAACTCACTCAGTTGCCAATAGGGCAGCAGCAGAACAAGCATAATTATCAGCAGCAGTCAAAAATGGCAACCAACTGGGCCTCCTTTGGTCATCAACAACAACAGCAACATCCATTGGTCCAGCAATCCGCTATATGGGGGCAACAGCCCCAGCAACAATGGTCAGAGAAGGTCAACATGGCCTCCAATGACCAGCAGCAGCAACATTTAATCCAGCATCCGGCCCACTGGGGGCAACAGCTACAACAACAATGGTCCATGGTGTCCAAAATGGCCTCCTCTGTACAACAAATCCATCAGCCAATACAACAGCTCCTACATGAAAATGTGTATCCACAGCAAAATCGATTGACGAGATACACACAGACATGCAAGAGCAGCTACATAAGACATGCTCGATGCTTCCCACCTTGAGCTCACTAGGCCAGCCTATGCATCCCATGAGGCAGCCACATGAGAATCCAGTCAATATATTTGTTTTTGGCCAACAACAACAAACCACTAATGAGAGACGAATCCTGAGGGGGAGGCGACTCTTACTGCCAATACAGCAGCCCACCCAGGTGAACGAGCAGCTGCAGAAATTACGATCGACGGTCACCACGACAGCCATACCAGACCGTCATACGCATCCGCCAATCCAGCTGCTCGTGCACTCAGGAGAGCAGCTACAGAAGCCTTTGTCAACGGCGAATCCACCGGAAACACTGAGGCACCAAACTATGGCCTCCGCCACGCCCACATATGGGCACACACAGCCGCGCCAAATATTGAAGCCTCTTCTCTGGGGGCACCAGGGGACGAGGAGCCACTCCTTGGAATTCACCACGTTCTCCTATGGGCAGTTGCAGCAGCCTCCAAATTGCCAAACGGCTCTATGGGGGCGGCAGAGAGCGTCGCACCAGCCGACAGAAGCCACAACGCCCACATATGGGCACACACACCAGCGCCAAATATCGCATCCTCTTCTCTGGGGGCACCAGGGGACGAGGAGCCACTTGTTGGATGCCACCACGTTCTCCTTTGGGCAATTGCAGCAGCCTCCAAATTGCCAAACGGCTCTATGGGGGCGGCAGAGAGCGTCGCACCAGCCGACGGTACCCACCACGCCCACATATGGGCACACACAGCAGCGCCAAATATCGCATCCTCTTCTCTGGGGACAGCAGGGGACGATGCACCAGCCGATGACGGTCACCACGCCCACTTATGGGCAAATGCAGCAGTCTCCAAATTGCCAGACGGCTCTATGGGGGCAGCAAGCGCAACAACAACAGTCAACGGCAGCCACCACGCCCACATATGGGCAAATGTATCCGCCTCCTAATTGCCAGCCGGCCGTACGGGAGCAGCAGGTGCACCAGCGCCATCTTATGGTGTTCACAGCGTCCTCCAAAGGGCAACGGAAGCGGCCGACGAAGTCTCAGCACGCTCAGTGGGAGCAGAAGCTTCTGCAGCAATGGCTAGCAACGGCTACAAAGACCTCCACTAGCCAGTCAATCCAGCGGCCAATCCTACGGGGGCGGCGGCTCATTAATGACCGAACGATGGTCACCACTGCGGACTCCATGGGTACCCAAGCGTACCAGTCATTGTGGAAGCTCGTCTATGAGGACCATCAGAGGCAGCAACAACGGTCAAAGGCGGCCAGAACGGCATCCCCAGACCACTGGCATCAACTCCAAATTGAGCTGCGCGTCCAGCAGCTAAACAACAACAGCCAAAGCTTGACGATAGTCAAAAATCTGGAGCGGCGATATAAAAGAAGGCGTCAGATGGCAGTCCAGAGGCCAGCAAATAAGCCCAGAAACCGCCGTACCTGCAAAAAGCACGAAAATGTGAAAAAACATAAGGTGGAAAAGAACCGCAACGCTCACTTACCTGCTCAAAGGGACCAGCATATGCAACAGCAGCCGACTCAGCACAATTGGCAACTCGCTAAGCGTCATCCACTTGACGCTGAGTGGCCAGTTACGGCGCCTCCCGATCGTGCAAAACAATTGCAGCTCAAGCTGCATGCCACTAAGCCTTCGGGCAAACAAATTTGCACTGGGAAATGCAGTAAAACGGCGATCCATCATCTACGCTTCCTGGGAGTGTGGATGATGATGCTTATTGCCATGCAACAGCTCCAGAAGCAGCAGATAATCCACCAAAGTTTGGTACAGCACTCAGCGGCGGCGAAAGCGACGGCGGCGGCCAGCAAGCAATTCAAATTGCACAAAACAATGCCAATTCGTCGGGCATTTATGCGGTGGAAGCAAATAGTCCACCGAAAGGCCAGAGGCAGACGTCAGGTGCATCGAAAGGCGGTGCGATACAAAGAATAATTAATATTAATTATTTTTAATGCCAACAAAATTGTTAATATTAATTTTTTCATATACTCACATGCGCGCAGCGTGCCTTGTAGTGTGTATGTATTTATGTATGTATGTACTTGCCAGTGACGCGACAGCATTGCCAGCTGATCGCGAAAATAATTCCCCAGAAAACTCACCTACTCAATGTTAAATGTACAGACCATTTTTATGTTAATGTTATGTTTAATTAGGTTAGTCGAGATTTAAATGTAAATGTTTTTTTTGTATCTCATGTCATCTCTCCCCATCTTGCGAACTGGGGAGTGTAGCATACTTTTAAGTGGCGTCAATTCTGTTCCTAAAATTTCTGTTTGCAATTCTTACTCAAAGTATATCGTAGAAATGAGAAACAATAAAAGAGAAAGCTCTCTGTCTGGCGGTCGAGGCGAGCGGACGTGTTTTGTGCGAGCTCCCGAAGACCAGCGTACCACGGCACTGTTTCAACTGACTTTGTGCAGGCGAAGGTGGCCAGGGCGCCGGCGCATCAGCGAGCGCTGCCAGCAGACGAACAAGAAAAAAAAAAAAAAAAAAAAACACAACATACAGCCCTACCTGGCAGTTAAAACTGCTTTACCAAACTTGACTCAGATACCAGGATCCCTGCCAATCTGGCATGTGCAGCCTAGGGGAGCAAGTTGAAGCCACATAGTCTCACCTGACCCTCCAACCCTATAACATACAGCCCTACCTGGCCGTTAAAACTGCTTTACCAAACTTGACTCAGATACCAGGAGCCCTGCCAATCTGGCATGTGCAGCCTAGGGGGAGCAAGCTGAAGCCAAATAGCCTCACCTGACCCTCCAACCCTATAACATACAGCCCTACCTGGCCGTTAAAACTGCTTTACCAAACTTGACTCAGATACCAGGAGCCCTGCCAATCTGGCATGTGCAGCCTAGGGGAGCAAGCTGAAGCCAAATAGCCTCACCAGACTATCCAATCCTATAACATACAGCCCTACCTGGCCGTTAAAACTGCTTTCCATTAAAAGCCTCCAATTAAAACGACCGTTGCCGCGTGGTCCACTCAGTGGCGTTTGCGGATACTCCTCGAATCTTACCATTGGTTATCCACTGGTAGAGATTTGGGCCCCGTCTTCTATATGTACCAAGCAACAGGCTGCTATATATTGTAAACAAAAAAAAAAAAAAAAAAAACACAACATACAGCCCTACCTGGCCGTTAAAACTGCTTTACCAAACTTGACTCAGATACCAGGAGCCCTGCCAATCTGGCATGTGCAGCCTAGGGGAGCAAGCTGAAGCCAAATAGCCTCACCAGACTATCCAATCCTATAACATACAGCCCTACCTGGCCGTTAAAACTGCTTTCCATTAAAAGCCTCCAATGGAAATGACCGTTGCCGCGTGGTCCACTCATTGGCGTTTGCGGATACTCCTCGAATCTTACCATTGGTTATCCACTGGTAGAGATTTGGGCCCCGTCTTCTATATGTACCAAGCAACAGGCTAGTATATATTGTAAAAAAAAAAAAAAAAAAAAATCCGCCATGAAATACTGGACCGTGAACCACTGATAATGCCAGTGACCACAAGTGAACCTGGAAATAGAGAAAGGACATTGATTAACACAGCTCAGCACAACTATAACAGTAACAATACCAACAGCAGTGCTTGTACCTTCCCTGGTTATCTCGGCCTAACGATAGCCAACCAAAATGCACCTGCTTCATTGCCACCTGCGGCCAGCCCCACAGCCGCTGCTACTATCCACAGTATCATTCAGGCATTGCCGAGACACGTGGCAGCTACAACGGCTGAGACCTCGACACCGTTTGTAATAAGCGATCTACATGCTTCCCCACCGGTCACACTCCCACACATTGCAGTTGACTGTCCTGGCCTGGCGGTGGCCAGTCAATCATTGCCAGCCATTTTGACACGTGTGGCTGTACGCGCACTAAACTGTTGTAGCGCAAACGTCCGCGATCCCTGACACATCTGTAATGGAGAGGACACAAAATATCAATACAGCTCTGATAAACAACAAGAACAGCACAGCTCACATAATCACTGATCAAGCTCTCCCAGCCATAGCGCCACCTGCGGCCAGCTCCACAACCGCTGCTGTTGGACACGGCATCACTCAGGCATCGCCGATACCTAAAGCAGCTGCAACGCCAGTGACTTCAAGTTCGTCTGTGACAAGCGGAATGCATACTGAAAACATAGCTCAGAACAACAACTGCAGCACTACTCACATGGCCTCCGATGACATTGTCATACTGGCAGCAAACCATTTTCCACGGGTCGCATTGCCACACATTGCTGCTGACTGTCCTGACCTGGCTCTGGCCAGACAATCAATACCAGCCAATTTGCCGCGTGCAGCTGTTTGCGCGCCAATTGCTCCTGCGCACAACGGCAGCCTCACACCACCTGGCCCTGTGGTAACACAATCGTCTGCGGATCCTTATACATCTGAAAAGAAAAGGATACAAAACATCAATACAGCTCTGATAAACAAAAAGAACTGCACAGCTCACTTAGTCACTGAAGGTCGCGGCCAGACGGAAGCCGAGCAAGCTTTTACCTGCCACCACGCCTTCTGCGGCCAGTTCCACAGCTGCTGCTATTAGTATCTTTCAGGCATTGCCGAGACCCGTGGCAGCTGCAACGCCGGCGACATCGAGTTCGTCAATAATATCCAATCAGTCTCCACCAGTAACACTGCCATACACGGTAGTTGACCGTCCAGGCCTGGCTGTGGCCAGACAATCATTGCCAGCCATTTTGCCACGTGCGGCTGCACGCGCACCAAACGCTCCTGAGCTCAACGGCAGCTTCTCAACAACTGGCCCTGTTGTAGCGCAAACGTCCGCGACTCCTAACACATCTGGAATAAAAAGGTCACAAAATATCAATACAGCTCCGCTAATCAACAAGAACAGCACAGACCACATAATCCGCGATCAAGCTTTACCAGCCATAGCGCCACCTGCGGCTAGTTCCACAACCGCTGCTATCAGGTACGGCATCACTCAGGCATTGCCGAGACACGTGGCAACTGCAATGCCGGCGACTCCGAGTACGTCTGTAACAAGTGAAATACAAATTGAATGTACAACTCAGAACAACAACAGCAGCACTACTCACATGGCCTCTGATGATAATGTCCCATTGGCAGCAAATCAGTTTCCACCGGTCACATTGCCACACATTGTAGCCGACTGTCCTGGCCTGGCGGTGGCCAGACAAACAATACCAGCCACGTTGCCACGTGCGGCTGTAAACGCACCAAATGCTCCTGAGCACAGCAGCAACTCCACAACACCTGGCCCCGTGGTATCACAATCGTCTGCGACTACTAATACATCTGAAACGGAAAGAATACAATACATTAGCATAACTCCGAGAGACAATAAAAACTGCACAGCTCACTTACTCACTGACGGCCGCTGCCAGGCGGAGGACAAGCAAGCTTTACCTGCCACCACGCCTTCTGCGGCCAGTTCCACAGCTGCTGCTATTAGTATCTTTCAGGCATTGCCGAGACCCGTGGCAGCTGCAACGCCGGCGACATCGAGTTCGTCAATAATATCCAATCAGTCTCCACCAGTAACACTGCCACACACGGTAGTCGACCGTCCAGGCCTGGCTGTGGCCAGACAATCATTGCCAGCCATTTTGCCACGTGCGGCTGCACGCGCACCAAACGCTCCTGAGCTCAACGGCAGCTTCTCAACAACTGGCCCTGTTGTAGCGCAAACGTCCGCGACTCCTAACATATCTGGAATAAAAAGGTCACAAAATATCAATACAGCTCCGCTAATCAACAAGAACAGCACAGACCACATTATCCGCGATCAAGCTTTACCAACCATAGCGCCACCTGCGGCTAGTTCCACAACCGCTGCTATCAGGTACGGCATCACTCAGGCATTGCCGAGACACGTGGCAACTGCAATGCCGGCGACTCCGAGTACGTCTGAAACAAGTGAAATACAAATTGAATGTACAACTCAGAACAACAACAGCAGCACTACTCACATGGCCTCTGATGATAATGTCCCATTGGCAGCAAATCAGTTTCCACCGGTCACATTGCCACACATTGTAGCCGACTGTCCTGGCCTGGCGGTGGCCAGACAAACATTACCAGCCACTATGCCACGTGCGGCTGTAAACGCACCAAATGCTCCTGAGCACAGCAGCAACTCCACAACACCTGGCCCCGTGGTATCACAATCGTCTGAGACGGAAAGAATACAATATATTAGCATAACTCCGAGGGACAATAAAAACTGCACAGCTCACTTAGTCACTGACGGCCGCTGCCAGGCGGAGGACAAGCAAGCTTTACCTGCCACCACGCCTTCTGCGGCCAGTTCCACAGCTGCTGCTATTAGTATCTTTCAGGCATTGCCGAGACCCGTGGCAGCTGCAACGCCGGCGACATCGAGTTCGTCAATAATATCCAATCAGTCTCCACCAGTAACACTGCCACACACGGTAGTCGACCGTCCAGGCCTGGCTGTGGCCAGACAATCATTGCCAGCCATTTTGCCACGTGCGGCTGCACGCGCACCAAACGCTCCTGAGCTCAACGGCAGCTTCTCAACAACTGGCCCTGTTGTAGCGCAAACGTCCGCGACTCCTAACATATCTGGAATAAAAAGGTCACAAAATATCAATACAGCTCCGCTAATCAACAAGAACAGCACAGACCACATTATCCGCGATCAAGCTTTACCAACCATAGCGCCACCTGCGGCTAGTTCCACAACCGCTGCTATCAGGTACGGCATCACTCAGGCATTGCCGAGACACGTGGCAACTGCAATGCCGGCGACTCCGAGTACGTCTGAAACAAGTGAAATACAAATTGAATGTACAACTCAGAACAACAACAGCAGCACTACTCACATGGCCTCTGATGATAATGTCCCATTGGCAGCAAATCAGTTTCCACCGGTCACATTGCCACACATTGTAGCCGACTGTCCTGGCCTGGCGGTGGCCAGACAAACATTACCAGCCACTATGCCACGTGCGGCTGTAAACGCACCAAATGCTCCTGAGCACAGCAGCAACTCCACAACACCTGGCCCCGTGGTATCACAATCGTCTGAGACGGAAAGAATACAATATATTAGCATAACTCCGAGGGACAATAAAAACTGCACAGCTCACTTAGTCACTGACCGCCGCGGCCAGGCGGAGGACAAGCAAGCTTCACCTGCCACTACGCCTCCTTCGTCCAGATCCACAGCCGCTGCTATTAGTATCCTTCAGTCACTGCCGAGACCCGTGGCAGCTGCAACGCCAGCGACTTCAAGTTCGTCTGTAACAAGCGAAATGCGTATTGAAAACACAGCTCAGAACAACAACAACAGCACTACTCACATGGCCTCCGATGTTAATGTCCCATGGGCTGCAAATCAGTTTCCACCGGTCACTTTGCCTCACATTGTAGCCGACTGTCCTGGCCTGGCGGCTGCCAGACAATCAATGCCACCCATTCTGCCACACGCGGCTGTAAGCGCGCCAAATGCTCCTGGTCACAACGGCAGCTCCACAGCACCCGGCCAGATGGTAACACAATTGTCTGCGGCTCCTTATACATCTGAAAAGATAAGGACACAAAATATCAACACAGCTCTGATAAACAACAATAACAGCACAGCTCACATAATCACCGATCAAGCTTTAGCAGCCTCAACGCCACCTGCGGATAGTTCCACAGCCACTGCTATTAGGAACAGTATCATCCAGGCAGTATCGCCGGCGACTTCGAGTTCATCTGTAGCAACCAATCCTGGCTGTGGCCAGACAATCATTGCCAGCCATTTTGCCACGTGCGGCTGCACGCGCACCAAACGCTCCTGAGCTCAACGGCAGCTTCTCAACAACTGGCCCTGTTGTAGCGCAAACGTCCGCGACTCCTAACATATCTGGAATAAAAAGGTCACAAAATATCAATACAGCTCCGCTAATCAACAAGAACAGCACAGACCACATTATCCGCGATCAAGCTTTACCAACCATAGCGCCACCTGCGGCTAGTTCCACAACCGCTGCTATCAGGTACGGCATCACTCAGGCATTGCCGAGACACGTGGCAACTGCAATGCCGGCGACTCCGAGTACGTCTGAAACAAGTGAAATACAAATTGAATGTACAACTCAGAACAACAACAGCAGCACTACTCACATGGCCTCTGATGATAATGTCCCATTGGCAGCAAATCAGTTTCCACCGGTCACATTGCCACACATTGTAGCCGACTGTCCTGGCCTGGCGGTGGCCAGACAAACATTACCAGCCACTATGCCACGTGCGGCTGTAAACGCACCAAATGCTCCTGAGCACAGCAGCAACTCCACAACACCTGGCCCCGTGGTATCACAATCGTCTGAGACGGAAAGAATACAATATATTAGCATAACTCCGAGGGACAATAAAAACTGCACAGCTCACTTAGTCACTGACCGCCGCGGCCAGGCGGAGGACAAGCAAGCTTCACCTGCCACTACGCCTCCTTCGGCCAGATCCACAGCCGCTGCTATTAGTATCCTTCAGTCACTGCCGAGACCCGTGGCAGCTGCAACGCCAGCGACTTCAAGTTCGTCTGTAACAAGCGAAATGCGTATTGAAAACACAGCTCAGAACAACAACAACAGCACTACTCACATGGCCTCCGATGTTAATGTCCCATGGGCTGCAAATCAGTTTCCACCGGTCACTTTGCCTCACATTGTAGCCGACTGTCCTGGCCTGGCGGCTGCCAGACAATCAATGCCACCCATTCTGCCACACGCGGCTGTAAGCGCGCCAAATGCTCCTGGTCACAACGGCAGCTTCACAGCACCCGGCCCGATGGTAACACAATTGTCTGCGGCTCCTTATACATCTGAAAAGATAAGGACACAAAATATCAACACAGCTCTGATAAACAACAATAACAGCACAGCTCACATAATCACCGATCAAGCTTTAGCAGCCTCAACGCCACCTGCGGATAGTTCCACAGCCACTGCTATTAGGAACAGTATCATCCAGGCAGTATCGCCGGCGACTTCGAGTTCATCTGTAGCAACCAATCAGTCTCCACCAGTTACATTGCCACGCACTGAAGCTGACTATCCTGGCCTGGCGGTGGCCAGACAAACATTACCAGCCACTATGCCACGTGCGGCTGTATACGCACCAACGGCTCCTGACTACAGCGACAGCTTCTCAATACCCGGCCATCTGTTGGCGCAAACATCTGCGACTCCTAAAATATCTGAAATTAGAAGGAAACATAAAATCAATACAGCTCTGAGAAATAACAAGAACAGCACAGCTCACACAATCATCGATGATCGAGGCCTGGCGGAGGCCGATACAACATTACCAGCCACAGCGCCATCTGCGGCTTGTTTCACATCCGCAGCTGTCGGACACATTTCAATTCAGGCATTGCCGAGGCCTGCAGCTGCTGCTACGCCTATGACTTCAAATTCACCTGTAACAAGCGAAATACAAACTGAAAGCACAGCTTATAGCAACAACAACAACGCCACTCACCTGATATCAGACGACACTGTCCTATTGGCAGCCAGCCATTCCTCACTTGTCATACCGCCACTTGCGGCCGGCAGCACACTTTCCGATACATCTGATCCTGAAGTACTGGATGTCGTGGGCTGCCTGCCATAATAAGGCCGTTGTAGTTTTCAGGTCACCTCCAATGGACTGTGACCTCGCGAGCAACAAAAATTGCCTCTGCCACTCGAAGCCTATTGATGTACCCACTCCAGATTGTGTGCCTGCCGACCCGTGTGAAATTCTTCAATTGCCGCTGAAAGAAACGAATATTTTAAATCAAAATTAATTTTAATATAATATAAAACACTTACCTGTTGTCAATATAAACGCATATCCATAGTATAAGTTTTTGCCAGTAAGAGCCAGCCCTGTAGCGCTAACAAATTCAGTTATAATGTTTGTAAAATATCGATTGAATAAAGACGCTCACCCCCAGCCGCACAATTCACCACTCCTGCTGGACAGGCAGAGGTGAAATCGTGCAAATGGGAGTAAGCTCAGTATTAGTGCGTCTTCCATGGCCACTGAGAAAGAAAGGCCAGACGGAGGACAAGCAAGCTTCACCTGCCACTACGCCTCCTTCGGCCAGATCCACAGCCGCTGCTATTAGTATCCTTCAGTCACTGCCGAGACCCGTGGCAGCTGCAACGCCAGCGACTTCAAGTTCGTCTGTAACAAGCGAAATGCGTATTGAAAACACAGCTCAGAACAACAACAACAGCACTACTCACATGGCCTCCGATGATAATGTCCCATTGGCAGCAAATCAGTTTCCACCGGTCACATTGCCACACATTGTAGCCGACTGTCCTGGCCTGGCGGTGGCCAGACAAACATTACCAGCCACTATGCCACGTGCGGCTGTAAACGCACCAAATGCTCCTGAGCACAGCAGCAACTCCACAACACCTGGCCCCGTGGTATCACAATCGTCTGAGACGGAAAGAATACAATATATTAGCATAACTCCGAGGGACAATAAAAACTGCACAGCTCACTTAGTCACTGACCGCCGCGGCCAGGCGGAGGACAAGCAAGCTTCACCTGCCACTACGCCTCCTTCGGCCAGATCCACAGCCGCTGCTATTAGTATCCTTCAGTCACTGCCGAGACCCGTGGCAGCTGCAACGCCAGCGACTTCAAGTTCGTCTGTAACAAGCGAAATGCGTATTGAAAACACAGCTCAGAACAACAACAACAGCACTACTCACATGGCCTCCGATGTTAATGTCCCATGGGCTGCAAATCAGTTTCCACCGGTCACTTTGCCTCACATTGTAGCCGACTGTCCTGGCCTGGCGGCTGCCAGACAATCAATGCCACCCATTCTGCCACACGCGGCTGTAAGCGCGCCAAATGCTCCTGGTCACAACGGCAGCTTCACAGCACCCGGCCCGATGGTAACACAATTGTCTGCGGCTCCTTATACATCTGAAAAGATAAGGACACAAAATATCAACACAGCTCTGATAAACAACAATAACAGCACAGCTCACATAATCACCGATCAAGCTTTAGCAGCCTCAACGCCACCTGCGGATAGTTCCACAGCCACTGCTATTAGGAACAGTATCATCCAGGCAGTATCGCCGGCGACTTCGAGTTCATCTGTAGCAACCAATCAGTCTCCACCAGTTACATTGCCACGCACTGAAGCTGACTATCCTGGCCTGGCGGTGGCCAGACAAACATTACCAGCCACTATGCCACGTGCGGCTGTATACGCACCAACGGCTCCTGACTACAGCGACAGCTTCTCAATACCCGGCCATCTGTTGGCGCAAACATCTGCGACTCCTAAAATATCTGAAATTAGAAGGAAACATAAAATCAATACAGCTCTGAGAAATAACAAGAACAGCACAGCTCACACAATCATCGATGATCGAGGCCTGGCGGAGGCCGATACAACATTACCAGCCACAGCGCCATCTGCGGCTTGTTTCACATCCGCAGCTGTCGGACACATTTCAATTCAGGCATTGCCGAGGCCTGCAGCTGCTGCTACGCCTATGACTTCAAATTCACCTGTAACAAGCGAAATACAAACTGAAAGCACAGCTTATAGCAACAACAACAACGCCACTCACCTGATATCAGACGACACTGTCCTATTGGCAGCCAGCCATTCCTCACTTGTCATACCGCCACTTGCGGCCGGCAGCACACTTTCCGATACATCTGATCCTGAAGTACTGGATGTCGTGGGCTGCCTGCCATAATAAGGCCGTTGTAGTTTTCAGGTCACCTCCAATGGACTGTGACCTCGCGAGCAACAAAAATTGCCTCTGCCACTCGAAGCCTATTGATGTACCCACTCCAGATTGTGTGCCTGCCGACCCGTGTGAAATTCTTCAATTGCCGCTGAAAGAAACGAATATTTTAAATCAAAATTAATTTTAATATAATATAAAACACTTACCTGTTGTCAATATAAACGCATATCCATAGTATAAGTTTTTGCCAGTAAGAGCCAGCCCTGTGGCGCTAACAAATTCAGTTATAATGTTTGTAAAATATCGATTGAATAAAGACGCTCACCCCCAGCCGCACAATTCACCACTCCTGCTGGACAGGCAGAGGTGAAATCGTGCAAATGGGAGTAAGCTCAGTATTAGTGCGTCTTCCATGGCCACTGAGAAAGAAAAATCTGAGCTTTGCTCTCAACAGTTAAATCAGGAGCCGACGACATCACGTGCGGCTGCTGCTGCTAACACCAACAAAGTTGCCTCTGCAACTGCCACTAAACAGCAAACGCTGTACGAAATGATGAGCCAAAACGAGCACCTTAAGCAAAAACTGCAAATGCCAAAAAGAGCCAGCAAGAGGCTGACAAATGAAAAGCCCGCCGCTAGCCAAAAGAAAAAGCCATCAAACCCTGAGCATGCTGCCACCGAAACTGCTGCCGTTGCTGCCAATGAATCTCGCGACTCAAGTAACCGCTTCAGGTCGCTGGCAGAGGAACTCGAGATGAACATCTCTGACATCGATGACTCTGAAGATGACGATCCGCTCGGACCACCAATACCCACCGGCAATCCTGCCGCCGATGTTGCCGACGCGACAGCTCCCAATGTTGCTATAGCTCCAACAGCCACTATCCGTGCAGCCGCTCCAAACACTGTTTCTGCTTCTGCTGCCACTAACTGTGGTGCTGCTAAGTTTTCTCGCACGGCAAAACCAAAACCGATTCTTATTCCCGAAGTCAACGATATTATGCCGATCATTGAGGGCATCAACAACGTTATCGGAAATAACTATGTTACTAAACCCACTGCCAAGAAGGGGCTAAGAATACAGTGCAACGATGTTGACTCGTATCGCAAACTGGTCCACCACTTTCAAGAAAATCAGATACAATCCCATACCTACCAACTGGAACACGAGCGTGGCTTCAGGGCGGTCATTCGCCACCTACACAAATCCACGCCCATGGACTGGATCCGCTCAAGGCTGGCTGAACTTGGTTTTACAGTACGTTATCTAGATGTGATCAAAAAGCGCTTCACCAGGGAGCCTCTGGATCTCTTTGAAGTTGAGTTTGAGCAAGCTGAAAACATACTTGAAGTACTAAAACTTAACAAGCTGGGAAACCAGCAAATTGTCGTCGAACGCCCACTACGCTCAGCTGACGTAGCCCAGTGCCACAGATGTCAGCTGTTCGGGCACACCAAAAATTACTGCCGCCGGCCTTTCGTCTGTGTCAAGTGCGCCGGAAGCCATCAATCCACAGTATGCTTAAAAGAAGCTGGTGAGAAGCCAAAATGCGCAAACTGTAAGGGCCAGCACGCAGCCAGCTACCGAGGATGCCAGGCATTCAAAAATGCTTGCAAAAGTAAAGAACCTCCGAGCGTCGCCCGTGCCAACAATATACTCAGCGAATTGGGTATCCCACAAATTCTTTCTAGTCGCCAGCAACAGCGTCTACCACAGCAGCAGCAGCTCACCAGCAACATGCTCAACTTGCGCAGCACACTGCAGCTCCGAGGCAAAAACTGCCAGCTGAGCCCAGGGCTGCTCCGAGCCAACAGCCTTATGTACGCATGCAACCGCCAAATAGGCAAACGGAACGCCATCAAAATAGTGCAGCCTTTTCCAGTTACGCGGCTGCAGCCAAAAGCACACTCCAACAAAGGGATCCCAGGCAGCGTCAAGCTAGACGTGAACTTCAACAGACACTGTCAGCGTCAACCCCATACGTTCAAAGCAACCCACTGCCACCCAAGCGGTCTGCCCTTAGAAGCCGAAGTCACAGTATCCACCGCAGTGCCCAATCTCTTTCACAGAATCATGCCACCGATAATCTTATCCAGAAACTAGACAGATTAACTGCCATTATCATTGAGGACCGCGAGCAACGAATGGCGCCCGCCCCCGGCGCACCTCGAGCGTAAGATTGATCAACTAATGGACGTCCTCATCAAAGTGGTCTCCAACCTTCAGCACAGAGAGCAAGCCAATGACACTCACAATGCCTAGACATCCACTTTCTGCCAACACAGCCTCAATAGCAAATCCAAATGATAATACTCATTTAAAAATTATCTCTTGGAACGCTGCTGGGCTTACAAACAAGCTACACGAAATGATAACTTTTATTAATAAGCACAATGTGGATATTATGCTGGTTACCGAAACTCACCTGTTGGACTCTGACTCAATCAATGTAACAGGCTATGACACGTACCCAGTAAATCATCCTGCAAATCGAAGGCGCGGTGGTGCCGTAACTTTCATAAAAAGCTCGATTCGCCATATGGCGCTCCCTTCCATCGCCACACAACGGATCCAATGCTCCACAATTGCTGTCGCCCTCCAAGACGGCTCTTCAATAAACATCGCCGCAGTATACCTCCCGCGCCCCCGCCGCTCAACGACTGGTCAACTGATGATTTCCATTATCTGCTCAACGGACTAGGAGACAAGTTTTTGATAGCCGGCGATTGGAACGCTAAAAGCTACTGGTGGGGCAACGCCCGTTCCTGCAGGAGAGGCACTGCACTCTTGCAATGTATACAGCAGTACAGGTATAGCATTTTAGCCACCGGTTCGCCAACGCACTTTCCATTCAACACGAGACACTCTCCATCGGCCATCGACTTCGCTGTGTATGGAGGAATTCGGCACAACTTACTAAATATCTGTTCCTCGTACGATTTAGGTTCTGATCACCTCCCCCTAAAAATAGATATACTTGGCTTTGCACCTATTACTCACTCCAAATGTCATATTCTCCCGCTGAATGCTAACGTCAAGAAGTTTCAGGAACGGCTCAACGAACACATCCACCTTGACACCGAAATACAATCAGGCGCGGACATTGATGACTGTGTTCTAATATTCGAGAAAAACGTGCATGAGGCTGCCAAATTTGCGTCAAAACATCTCCAAACACGGCTTCTTAATGCCAGGGCCCGCCACACTACAGTCAACAGACAAACACTAATGATGATCGAGGCGAAACGTATAATAAAAAGGCAAATAACCACAACGCGAAATCCTCTCATCAGAGTTATATTTAACCACCTTACGAATCGCATTCGAAAAGCCCTTAAATCTGCTGAAGAGAACAAAATGGACAGGCTCTTTGCATCCATGGACCCTGACAACAGGTACAACATGCAGAAGCTTTGGCGTATAACCAACAATATTAAGAGGCAACCCATTCCTAATCTGCCAGTCAAAAAGCATGCCAACGTATCAGACAACAATAGAGACGCTTGGTGCAAGACTACTGAAGAGAAGGCGGATGCTTTTGGTCAGCATTTCGAATGCAGGTTCACGCCAATCCTCACAGCATCAGCTGCTGAAAGACGTCACATAGAAGAGCAAACACAGCCCACGCCACCTACCAGTGCGGTCTCCTTCAGACGAATTTCTCTGGCCGAGGTCCAAACTGAAATTAAGCAGCTTAAGCCTAAGAAGTCACCTGGGATGGACAACATCGATAATCGTACAATTAAATTGCTTCCGCTGTCGGCTGTGCAATACATCACAATGCTGTTTAATGGAATCCTCCAGTATGACCATTTTCCAAGCAGGTGGAAGCAAGCGGTGGTTAAAATGATTCCAAAGCCCGGTAAACCACTTGGGCAGCTATCATCGTACAGGCCTATCAGCCTTCTGTCGGGAATCTCCAAAATATTCGAGGCACTGTTGCTCAAACGGCTGTTCGAGGTTGAATCGTTTACAAAGTCCCTCCCTGCCCACCAATTCGGTTTCCGAAAGGCGCATGCCGCGGAACAGCAGCTTGGGAGAGTCACACAGTTCATCCTCAAAGCACTTGAGAATGGCTGCTACTGCTCGGCCGTTTATCTAGATATACAAGAAGCGTTCGACCGCGTATGGCACGACGGCCTCTACTATAAGCTGAGTAAAGTTCTACCAGATTCTTTATATAGAGTCATACGAGATTACTTAACACAAAGAACGTTTACAGTCGAATGTAGCGGCGGCATACGCTCTGGCATCAAGTTAATCCGGGCCGGCGTCCCCCAGGGCAGCGTTCTGGGACCAGTTTTATACAACATTTACTCCTCCGACATGCCGGTACCTCCAGTGTGTCCAAACTGTCACCAGTCAATACGGCATGCTCCTGGCGACCTACGCCGATGACACGACTATCATGTCGGCACATGGATCTGACAAAGTTGCTATAGACCGGATGAACAATTACCTGGAAAGTTTCTCTTCATGGGCCAAGAAGTGGTGCATACAAATCAATATCTCGAAAACTGCACATGTGCTACACACGCTGCGGCGCTCTGACTCGGTGCCAACACCAATCCTGGATGGGCACACTCTTGCCAACAAACCAATGCACACATACTTGGGTGTATGTCTTGACGCCAAACTGCTCCTAAACTTCCAAGTATCAGCAACTGTCTCCAAACTGAGGTCGAGAATCAAAAAACTGCACTGGCTGCTAAACAGCAGCAGTAAATTGCCGCTCAAAACAAAGATAGTCTTATACAGGCAATTGATAGCACCAATCTGGCAGTACACATTACCTGTCTGGGGCCCACTAGTTAGCCAAACACAGTTTGACAAGCTGCAGACTATACAGAATAAAGTACTCAGACTTATAACAGGCGCTCCTTGGTACGTTAGCAATCGTACTCTGCACGTTGGATCTGCGTATCCCAACAATCGATAATGTATATAGCAATACCTGTTCTAAATACACGAAGAGACTGTTAACACACTGTAACGACGAGGCCAGGAAGCTGGCACTTTACCCGTACATTCCACAGCGATTGTCACGTCCGAGATATTTGCAAATGATTGACAGATGCCTGCCACTGATAGAACGGCCATTACCGCAGCAAGCAGAGGTACCACAGCCGCGCCCACATTTGCCCATCTTTGGTCCGCCCACTATAAGGGAACACCTGCTTACGGGACGCAGCGAAAGGCTCAGACTAAGGCAGGAGCAGATCGCGGAGCAACGCAGATTAGAACTGCAGCGATACAGAGAGCAGTTCGCCCATAGGCGTGCGTGTATACTCAACGCAGCTCGAACTCCTGGCAATATGCCTCCTATCCCGGCTTTTCCTGCAACAAACTTCAACTTTGTCAACAACAGTACGCAACTTGTTTCGGGTATACTGGCAATTATTGACTTAACTGACGACCAACTGCCATCAAGCGCTGCCGTCGGCGATCCGCAAATCCGCCATGAAATACTGGACCGTGAACCACCTGATAATGCCAGTGACCACAAGTGAACCTGGAAATAGAGAAAGGACACTGATTAACACAGCTCAGCACAACTATAACAGTAACAATACCAACAGCACTGCTTGTACCTTCCCTGGTTATCTCGGCCTAACGATAGCCAACCAAAATGCACCTGCTTCATTGCCACCTGCGGCCAGCCCCACAGCCGCTGCTACTATCCACAGTATCATTCAGGCATTGCCGAGACACGTGGCAGCTACAACGGCTGGGACCTCGACACCGTTTGTAATAAGCGATCTACATGCTTCCCCACCGGTCACACTCCCACACATTGCAGTCGACTGTCCTGGCCTGGCGGTGGCCAGCCAATCATTGCCAGCCATTTTGCCACGTGTGGCTGTACGCGCACTAAACGCTCCTGAGCTCAACGGCAGCTTCTCAACAACTGGCCCTGTTGTAGCGCAAACGTCCGCGACTCCTGACACATCTGTAATGGAGAGGACACAAAATATCAATACAGCTCTGATAAACAACAAGAACAGCACAGCTCACATAATCACTCGATCAAGCTCTACCAGCCATAGCGCCACCTGCGGCCAGCTCCACAACCGCTGATGTTGGACACAGCATCACTCAGGCATCGCCGATACCTAAAGCAGCTGCAACGCCAGTGACTTCAAGTTCGTCTGTGACAAGCGGAATGCATACTGAAAACATAGCTCAGAACAACAACTGCAGCACTACTCACATGGCCTCCGATGACATTGTCATACTGGCAGCAAACCATTTTCCACGGGTCGCATTGCCACACATTGCTGCTGACTGTCCTGACCTGGCTCTGGCCAGACAATCAATACCAGCCAATTTGCCGCGTGCAGCTGTTTGCGCGCCAATTGCTCCTGAGCACAACGGCAGCCTCACACCACCTGGCCCTGTGGTAACACAATCGTCTGCGGATCCTTATACATCTGAAAAGAAAAGGATACAAAACATCAATACAGCTCTGATAAACAAAAAGAACTGCACAGCTCACTTAGTCACTGAAGGTCGCGGCCAGACGGAAGCCGAGCAAGCTTTACCTGCCACCACGCCTTCTGCGGCCAGTTCCACAGCTGCTGCTATTAGTATCTTTCAGGCATTGCCGAGACCCGTGGCAGCTGCAACGCCGGCGACATCGAGTTCGTCAATAATATCCAATCAGTCTCCACCAGTAACACTGCCATACACGGTAGTTGACCGTCCAGGCCTGGCTGTGGCCAGACAATCATTGCCAGCCATTTTGCCACGTGCGGCTGCACGCGCACCAAACGCTCCTGAGCTCAACGGCAGCTTCTCAACAACTGGCCCTGTTGTAGCGCAAACGTCCGCGACTCCTAACACATCTGGAATAAAAAGGTCACAAAATATCAATACAGCTCCGCTAATCAACAAGAACAGCACAGACCACATAATCCGCGATCAAGCTTTACCAGCCATAGCGCCACCTGCGGCTAGTTCCACAACCGCTGCTATCAGGTACGGCATCACTCAGGCATTGCCGAGACACGTGGCAACTGCAATGCCGGCGACTCCGAGTACGTCTGAAACAAGTGAAATACAAATTGAATGTACAACTCAGAACAACAACAGCAGCACTACTCACATGGCCTCTGATGATAATGTCCCATTGGCAGCAAATCAGTTTCCACCGGTCACATTGCCACACATTGTAGCCGACTGTCCTGGCCTGGCGGCTGCCAGACAATCAATGCCACCCATTCTGCCACACGCGGCTGTAAGCGCGCCAAATGCTCCTGGTCACAACGGCAGCTCCACAGCACCCGGCCCGGTGGTAACACAATTGTCTGCGGCTCCTTATACATCTGAAAAGATAAGGACACAAAATATCAACACAGCTCTGATAAACAACAATAACAGCACAGCTCACATAATCACCGATCAAGCTTTAGCAGCCTCAACGCCACCTGCGGATAGTTCCACAGCCACTGCTATTAGGAACAGTATCATCCAGGCAGTATCGCCGGCGACTTCGAGTTCATCTGTAGCAACCAATCAGTCTCCACCAGTTACATTGCCACGCACTGAAGCTGACTATCCTGGCCTGGCGGTGGCCAGACAAACATTACCAGCCACTATGCCACGTGCGGCTGTATACGCACCAACGGCTCCTGACTACAGCGACAGCTTCTCAATACCCGGCCATCTGTTGGCGCAAACATCTGCGACTCCTAAAATATCTGAAATTAGAAGGAAACATAAAATCAATACAGCTCTGAGAAATAACAAGAACAGCACAGCTCACACAATCATCGATGATCGAGGCCTGGCGGAGGCCGATACAACATTACCAGCCACAGCGCCATCTGCGGCTTGTTTCACATCCGCAGCTGTCGGACACATTTCAATTCAGGCATTGCCGAGGCCTGCAGCTGCTGCTACGCCTATGACTTCAAATTCACCTGTAACAAGCGAAATACAAACTGAAAGCACAGCTTATAGCAACAACAACAACGCCACTCACCTGATATCAGACGACACTGTCCTATTGGCAGCCAGCCATTCCTCACTTGTCATACCGCCACTTGCGGCCGGCAGCACACTTTCCGATACATCTGATCCTGAAGTACTGGATGTCGTGGGCTGCCTGCCATAATAAGGCCGTTGTAGTTTTCAGGTCACCTCCAATGGACTGTGACCTCGCGAGCAACAAAAATTGCCTCTGCCACTCGAAGCCTATTGATGTACCCACTCCAGATTGTGTGCCTGCCGACCCGTGTGAAATTCTTCAATTGCCGCTGAAAGAAACGAATATTTTAAATCAAAATTAATTTTAATATAATATAAAACACTTACCTGTTGTCAATATAAACGCATATCCATAGTATAAGTTTTTGCCAGTAAGAGCCAGCCCTGTAGCGCTAACAAATTCAGTTATAATGTTTGTAAAATATCGATTGAATAAAGACGCTCACCCCCAGCCGCACAATTCACCACTCCTGCTGGACAGGCAGAGGTGAAATCGTGCAAATGGGAGTAAGCTCAGTATTAGTGCGTCTTCCATGGCCACTGAGAAAGAAAAACGCCACTCACCTGATATCAGACGACACTGTCCTATTGGCAGCCAGCCATTCCTCACTTGTCATACCGCCACTTGCGGCCGGCAGCACACTTTCCGATACATCTGATCCTGAAGTACTGGATGTCGTGGGCTGCCTGCCATAATAAGGCCGTTGTAGTTTTCAGGTCACCTCCAATGGACTGTGACCTCGCGAGCAACAAAAATTGCCTCTGCCACTCGAAGCCTATTGATGTACCCACTCCAGATTGTGTGCCTGCCGACCCGTGTGAAATTCTTCAATTGCCGCTGAAAGAAACGAATATTTTAAATCAAAATTAATTTTAATATAATATATAAAACACTTACCTGTTGTCAATATAAACGCATATCCATAGTATAAGTTTTTGCCAGTAAGAGTGGCGCTGTTTTCCTGTGGCGCTAACAAATTCAGTTATAATGTTTGTAAAATATCGATTGAATAAAGACGCTCACCCCCAGCCGCACAATTCACCACTCCTGCTGGACAGGCAGAGGTGAAATCGTGCAAATGGGAGTAAGCTCAGTATTAGTGCGTCTTCCATGGCCACTGAGAAAGAAAACGCCAGCAGGAGCAGCTTGATAAGCTGACGGGCTCCATGAGCATCGTCCAGCAGCAAATGCAGGGATTCCTCCGACATGAAGTCGACTCCACGCTGCTGGCGACACCATCCTCATCAAGTATAAGCAGAGGCTCTGTTTAGTTTTCTCGTTGAAGCCCGTCAGCTTGCCCAATCCAAACCAAAATAGAACTCCTTTAAAACTTTGTTCAATCTTTGAAAATTGAAAATAACAATATTAACGATCAAAGACACCCATTATTTACTCACCTGTCTTCCAATTACCTACCTTTCGTTTGTTATTTTCTCACACACCTTTCCATTATTACTGTCTTTTTAATTAAAAACTCTACCTGCTTATAAAAATCAAATGATACTCATTCCCAAAACAAATATCTATGTGCTACATTAAGCACATACTCGTGTGCATACGACCCAAAACGTCCGCTATACATATATATATTTTCTGCATTTATTAATTGCGAGACATCAAGTTGCACGCACACGAATTCGCATGCTTGCGCATACACACACACACACACCATTGCCAACGCCCATGTGCAGGCATACTCACAAATTCGCCAGACAACAACAACATCAAAACAAACTCGCACTTCCCAGACAGGCCGTCGCCAGCCTATCTCGCTGTTCGCCCAAATTCGTCGGTCGTATACACTTCTTGCGCACACGACCTAACGGCGGCGCAGCAAACTCACCACAAAACAATAGATGAAGACGACGATGACTGTGCAACTTACAGTCAGCCCAAATGAGCCCAGCTGACTCCAGACGACCATCATCATCACCACCACCATCATTGTTGTCTTCATCATCATTATCATCACCATCATCTTCTTCATCATTATTGTTTGCATCACTATCGCACATATAGCAGCGGCAACAGCAACAATAGCCACCGTTGAAACAATCTACATAACTCAACAATCAACAATTAACATCAGCTAGCTGCTGCTCTTATTTTGGTTGACCTGATCCCACAATTATCAAAATTGTCCAATTTAGACATACACACTCACACACACACACTATCCTAGACATAGTCATACACCAAAATTGTTTATATATTTATCTACTCACACAATTTTCTTTATAAACATAATAATCCTTTTGCTCAAACAACTCTCTCATATACACATACATATATGTATATCTAAATAAATTTTGGCAATAGCCGGTGCTAGTAACCTAAACACCTGCCCTATGAGAGATAGCACCGGCTTTAGGGAAATTAATATTTCTAAAATATGCCATCATTTATATGTATATATATGTATGTGCAAAACTTAGTCAAATTGTGCCCACTTGCATTGAAATAACATATGGAGTAACGATTAAATAATATTTAGAAATCCATTGCAAGGTACTCAACATAAGAAGCACACACAGTCACACAAATGCACACATATCGATTGGCAGCGCAATTGACTGGCATACACCTCGGTGTCGCCACTCTTTGCCATAGCCGTCCAAAAAATGTTGATGCAAAACTGATAATCATAAAATTGTCTCGCTATTATCACGAGCAATCCAATTTCGCACACATAAACATGTACAAGCAAACGCACAAAATTGCTAGTATGTGTATGGCAACCAATAAACAATAACAATCAAAAATCAGATACGCCCACTGACTCAAAACTAAAATAAACTCAAAACTCCCATAGTTATTTCAATAGCACATCTTTCACAAATAGTATTACTAATAATAGTACTTCTCTCATAGACAAATTGCATAACAGCATAACACACTGCCAAAACTGCTGGCTTATGGTAAGCTCTGCTTACTGACGCCGCACCTTACACCAATTGTATGTTACAACCCACTCTACACCACACCATTAACTCTGTTAATTTACATATACATATATATTTAAGTTTTTGAATTATATATATATATATAACCATAAATTAATAATGTCTGAATATATACATTCTTGTATTGACATAAAATTTGCCCAATACCATATTGTACACACTCATTGTACACGCATACACACACACACATCTAATTGTTTTACATTTAAGATTTACTCCAATATTGATCTTAATATTTATAACGTTATTTCACACATACATATCCATCGCAAAAGTAACATATATGAATAAATAAATTTCTGGGGCGATAAGGGAATTCGGGATCGAAGTCTCGGGCATCATGCTCCCGCTCAATCCATGTTTAGCTGAGTCAGAATCGCTGGTTGGCCCTGGTCTGGTGGAGTGCGCATGGCGTGGGATGTGGTTGGCCGCGTCGGATGGTGGATTGGTGGTCCCAGGTGTATGCTAAGTAAGAAGGCACCACATAATATTGCATCGCTGCACTTGCTGCCTTTCATGTCCGATATTTGGTCTGCCGCCTCCTCTGCCTGTCACTCTGCTCTCGCCTGTGCCCCCCGTTGCACACTCTCACTCGCTCGCTCGCTCTCCCACTCTCTCTCTCTCTCTCTCTTCTCGAAGGAGAGGGAGAGGGGGGGGGCATAGACTCGGCGCATGGATGGTGGTCGTGGACATGGCATTGCGTCGGCGTCGGCGTGGCGGCATAGTCGGCATTTCTAGCTTTCTAGCCTGCTCTCTTCCGAGAGTATGGCTATTCGTTTAGTGTCTCTCTGTCGTTTCGTCTCGTCACGTCGCTCGCCATCGTCCACAGCCCGTCGTCCATCGTCCGTCGCCTGGTGTCCGGCTCGATCCCGGCTCCCCCTTCGCAACTCTATACTAAACAGAAAAAAAGGAGTCTTTTTGAATTGATTGAATCGTGCGGACGTGTTTTGCGGAGTATCGGTGTGGCTAGTGCAGCTTAATAAAAAACGGTGTTTTGAAAAATACATAAGTACATATAGTACTTAGCGAACATATAGTACATAGCGAACATTTAGTACATAGCGAATATATAGCACATATATAGTATCGGGTGTTAATATTGGTGCGAACGAAGGAGAAAAGGATTGTTCTAGTTGCTTCCGGTCGCTGATGCTTGTGTCGCTGTCTACGACAAGTATATAGGCGCGCTTTGTAACTGTGGTGGCCTCATTGGCCCATTTTCTTTTGGATGCTGCTTTTTGAATATGCAGCCAGCCTTTCAAATCGTCGCCATTTGCCGTTTAAATCGCCTAAATAAAAAATCGTAATTAACTTACTCCACTCGCATTATAACGAAATCAAAACTTACCAAAACAAATCATTTATTAAATTGCTGTGTGCCGTTTATATATGTGTACATACATTTTCAATTCCTTTTTCACCTTTGGAAATAAAAATATTCATAACCTCAACTTGTATATATACCTACATACATATATATCTATATATGTATGTATAAATATATATAACCAACTGTCCGTCTACGGGCATATACTCTGCCAGAACATCGTACATACGTACATATATAAACACACTCACTCATATGCACACATACAAGAGAGCAATTATCATCACCAGCATTAAATATAATCCATAAACTCTATATATACTACGATAAAACGAACTAACTACACTAATCCTACAACAACAACAACAACAACAGTCATCACAGTCACCAAAGTACTCAAAAATCTCAAGGTATATATTCACAAAATTTCCCTCAACAACAGCAAGAACAAAAGTCTCCACTCTCCTTGTAAGTGTGCATCAAACTGTATATTGTATGTACATGTACATACATATTTGGGTGTGTATTGGTATCCCAAATTGCCTGCATGCGGTACAGCTGCTGTTGTGCAACTTAACGCAATTTCCCTCTTTCTTTTCTGCACCATATACGCACACACACATACACACACACACACACACACACACACACATTGTTCACATACTCTCATCAAATTTTCTCCATACACTTACTTTCGCATCAAATATAATAAACTTCCCATTGCTCACTCCATAACCAACAAATTGCACAATCAACCTAAACACCCTTGAATATAGTGCAATTTTGCTCAAATTGCTATCTAAAACCAACAAATTTAAAACTTATTAAAACCTAAATATATTATTACCTACACACATAATCATACATTCACATATTTATATATATATATGCATATATGTATTTCATTTTTCCCTACACATTCTTTATATATTTTCACTTACAT